TTTTGTGGATGCATCACAATTTCACTTTTTTGCTCTCTACTGGACTTTTATACATGGGGAAAGAATATGACAAAACAAATTTTATCGCTGCTTTTTAAAAATCCTACCAGATCAATCATATATATATAGACATCTATAAGGGGACTCATTTAGGTAAAATATAGCAATGTTTTTTAAACTCAAATCTATACAATGAATAATGGGTATATAGACTCAAGTCTATACAAATGAACAATATACATTTTTGAATAAGAGGTTGAAAATAGCAAATTCATTTTCAATGATGAAAAATATAACTATGAGTACATGATGTACTGTATGGTGTACATGATGTACTGTATGGTATACGTGGGGAAAAGTGGTATGTGTGACTCAGTGGCAAGAGCACAGGCTGGGAATCAGCAATCCAAGATTTCAAAGTCAGTTCTACCCCTTTCTGGCTGAGTAACTTGAACAAGTCATTTAGCCTCTGTCAACCTCATTGTCTTCAGCTTGAAGTGAAGATATTCGGATAGCTTTTTACCAAGAGCCCCTCTGACTCAATCTGTGACCTGTGTGTGTTACACTTAAAGTATGAGGTCCATCAACACTATTATTAGATTATGAAGCTTGTTGAATTTCATACTGTTAAAACATTGTTATAAGAGTTCTTCCAGTTCTGGACAAGATGGATAAATATGCTTTCTTTTATTCCTCACAATAATTATAACAAAAGACCCTGGACAAAACATATGTATCAACTATCAGAAGACTCTGAAAGTTGGAAGGCAGACTAAGCACCTCAGGGTTCCAGAAACAACCTAGCAGCGAGTTCCCTGGTGACTGATTTTGCCTGTCTGTTTTACCTCCAGCGTATCCCAACCTCGGCACTAGAGAACCCCACGGACCATAAATGCCAACAGGCAGAGATTAAAAATAATCCCCCCAAAAGCCCGCTCTTTCTAGCCAAAGCACTGGGAAAAGGGCAGCCCAGCAGCACAGGAACTTTTCAGCCACACCTTCCATTCCCTAGGTAAACAGAGACCCTTCTGCTGCACCTTCTCAGTGGATGCTACATCAGCAGAGTCTGTAGGTGCAACGTTGTTTCCCACCGCCACCTTGCAATAGCAGTGGTGCACTCTCCTATAAACCTGTGAGTGGAACCCTAGCTTCCATTCCTGCCTTGCAGAAACTGGTATTCCTCCTTTACTGAGCTTTTGTGCAGTATCCTGACTTTCTTCCCCACCCTATAGTAGAAGCAGTACCCTCTCAGCCCAAGTCTATGGGCAGAGCTCTATCTTCATCCCTAATCTGCAGTAATGAGGCAGCTGAGAGTGGTCAGAACTCTATTGTCTATGCCCACCCTGCAGTTACATGTAAAGTAGTACTACCCAACCAAGTTTGTGGGCACAGCTTTGACTTCCACCCTACCTGCAGTACCTCTCTCTCCCACCCAGTGCCACAGAGAATGTAGAGCAAAGTCTTGCTATTTGGGTAATACACAAGTGGGGCAGGCACAATAGCACTGCAGTAGCATTAAAAAAAACTTCATAAACGAGGTTGAGATTTGGACCACGTCCTACAAAAGTGCATTCTAAATCCAAACAGATTGGCTACAGGCTACTATTTTAAAGATTTAATAGGAATCATAGTCAAATAATACTCAAAATATCAAAAATACAGTTCAGGGTTGCTCATCAAAAGTAACTGTGGAAATAACCAGGACAATCTTAAGTAAAAAAGGACAATTGACAGACACCAGCACCAACATCAAAATGACACAGATGTTGGAATTATCAGACAAGAAAAGCAGCTATCATAAAAATTCCTCAACAAGCGCTTATGAACACTCTTGAAACAAATGAAAAAAATAAGAAATATCAGAAAAAGAAATAGATATTAGGCAGAACCAAATAGAAGTTTTAGAACTGAAAAATAACTGAAAGGAACTCACTGGATTATGGGCTCAATAGCAGAACAGACATGACAGAATGAAGATGAACTTGAAGTGAAGATCAGTAGAAATTATCCAAGTCAAACAACAGAGAGTAAATTTATTTACCTCTTTTTAGAGCCAGGGTCTCGCTCACAGGCTGGGGTCAGTGGCGTGACCATAGCTCACTGCAGCCTTGACTACCTGGGCTCAAGCCGTCCTCCCTCCTCAAGCCTCGTAAGTAGCTGGGACTATAGGCATACACCACCACAACCAGCAATTTATTGTAGTTTTTGTAGAGACAGGGTCTTACTATGTTGCCTAGGCTTGTCTCAAACTCCTGGCCTTAAGCAATCCTCCCATTTCAGCCTTTCAAAGTGCTGGGATTACAGGTGTGAGCCACCATGCTTGGCTTAGAAAACAGATTTTAAAAAGTGACCCGAGCCTCAGAGACCAGTGGGACAATAACAAAAGTTTAGCATTTGTGTTGTTGGAATCCCAAAAGAAGATAAAGAATGAGAAGCAAAAAACAATATTTGAAAAAAATAATAGCTGAAAACTCCCCAAATATTGTGAAAGCAGTCAAGAGAGAAATGAACAGTGCAGATATGGAAGCATCTATATCCCCAGTTACCCAATTCCTTTTCAGGACGTGGCTTTCACATCTGACAGTTTTTAGCCTTGACTTCAACTTAGTTTTTGACATTAAGCTGATTGACAACCTTGAGGTAGTACATAGAAAAGGCCTCTCAAAATGTTATTTCATTTCCTAAATAATAACATAGTCATGGTAAACACAGTTTACTACATGCATGCATTTTACATATATTAACATTGAATCCTCACATGAACGCTAATAAATAAACACTATTATTTTTCCCATTTTACATAACTGAGGTACAGGAAGTTTGAGCATCTCACTCAAAATTACGCAGCTAATAAATTCTAGACTGAACTCTAGTTATAAAAGTTACCCAAAACGTTAAAATATTCAGGAGGCAGGAGATCTTTTAAGTGGACAGTTTGCCATTGGTTTGCTTATGATTGAATCAGAACTCTTATGTATGCTCTAATACAGAGATAAAGAAGAATTAGGTTGCGATTCTGAAGTCGTTTGGACATTAACAGTACGGAATAGTGTTGGATCATTTGTTCGGATGGTGTAGATTGAGCTCTTTGTTGTGGAAGCCATCCTGTGTTCACAAGCTGACGTTCCTTAGGGGTGAAACATTTGGACATTAACAGTACGGAATAGTGTTGGATCATTTGTTCAGATAGTGTAGATTGAGCTCTTTGTTGTGGAAGCCATCCTGTGTTCACAAGCTGACGTTCCTTAGGGGTGAAACATTTGGCACTCCTAGCACTGTTGGTGCCATCTTCCACATGCCTGGCTTTGCATATGGAGGTGCTCAGTACATATGAATTCTTTTCCTAGAGTTGCCACAGGCCTTAAGTTCTTATTTCAAGTTGGCCGTGTCTACACATTTAATGAAACAACAATGTTATTTGTAAGTTTTGGCTAATTTTCCTTGTCTCTGTTAACTGTTACCACTATATATAACTAGATCACAGCTAATAACTTTTCCTAAAAGTCATGATAATGATCACCAGCATTTGTCTAGCATTTTACAACATGCAAACCACCTGAATGCATTGGCTTATTAATTCTCATAACAATTTTGTGAGGTGAATATTAGGATCCCCTTTCTGCCAGAAACAGCAAGCAAAACTGAATGGCATTGTGTGATTTTCAAACTGGCTTCATTAAGACTTAGCTATAAATTGTATATGCGCCACTTGGACTGGATTTACAAGAAGTCAGCATCAAGTTTTTATGAACTTAAAAACAAATGGGTTATGTTTTTTTTTTTAAACACAAAGATGACATTTATTTTAGTTGAATTATTTAGCTATGGTTTCTCACTCTGCGGTCTAATTTAACAAAATATTTGTATTCCTCTCTATTCCATCTAAAATTTCTTTGTGCTTTTCTTGTTGAAAAGTAAAATGTCTCACAATATTAACTAGAAACGGTTTGCTTTCTGGCATCTTTGAAGTTATAACTAAGTAAAATTACAAAGCAAAGGAGTAACTTCAGTAGAGGAAGTATGTGTCTAGGTGTTAAAATTGTGGACCAACTAGGGGCTTCCAGATAGCTGAACATGTGGTGGTTCCTAGAGGTCAGTGCACCCAGGGGGGGCATGGAACCCCCACACCGCTTTCCCCATACCTCATCCTATACATCTCTTCATCTATATCCTTTGTAATTAAACAGTAAACTTTTTAAAATGTGGATTCTAGACTCATCTGTAGGTTTGAGTTCTGCTCCTCTGTGTACTAAATGAATGGTCTTGCATAAGTTACTTAACACTTGTACTTAGTTTTCTCAGATATAATATGAGGGAAAAAGTACATGTACTTTTTTCATAGAAATACATGTTTCATAGAACTTTGTTAATTTAAATGAAATAATAAATGTAAAGCACTTAGAATAGTGTCTGGCACTAGTAAGCCATCAATAAATGTTCGCTGGTAATAGTATAGCAATAAATAATAGTTCCAGCTATTTCTAGTTGCTGGGGGAATTATATATTAGTTATCATATATATATAGAACAGATTACGGATAGATACAAACATGAGTAGCACCATTTTAAGAGGGCCCTGGATACTCCTACTTTTGGAAGTCCAATTCCGCTTTATATCAAATATACCTAAAATATAGTTATACCCCACATTAAATATAATTTTAATGTAACTTTAAAGAAATGGGTTTTTTATTGGCTATTTGACATATTTTGTGGACGTTGAATTAAACACTAATTTTGATTTTTTGTTGTATTCTCCTGAGACCATACAGCAATTAAGTGATGAACCATGAGCTAGAATTCTGGTCTCCTGGCTGATAACCAGAATTTTCCAGGAGAAAAGATGAGAATATTGTTTTCCCACCCAGAAAGAACTGCTGGAGTCTAATCCACTTTAAAACCCAATTCAAGCTGGAGGGCCTTTTGCTAAAGTTAACACCCCAGAATGCTCAAAACTCTGAAAGTAATATTGAATGTTTCCTTTCTTTCTTCTTTTCTTAGATTGTGGTTTGAATGTTCATAAGCAATGTTCCAAGATGGTCCCAAATGACTGTAAGCCAGACTTGAAGCATGTCAAAAAGGTGTACAGCTGTGACCTTACAACGCTCGTGAAAGCACACACCACTAAGCGGCCGATGGTGGTAGACATGTGCATCAGGGAGATTGAGTCTAGAGGTGAGACATTTCCAATGTGGGCTGCCCTGGCCTCCATTCCCTTCCAGTACCAGTCCTAATGCCTTTGGGATACCTCATTGCACAATGCGGTTGTCTTCTGTAATTTGTGGGGGAATGGTTTCCTATGTCAAGTGACCTCAAAGACTGAAATGAATTAATTTAACAAGTAATTAAATAGCTTGATTTCAAGGTACATTTAACCAAGTATAGCAAATATGCTTAAAAATATATTTATAGATGATGCTTCCCGTCTGCATTTGACTGGTAAAGACAAATTCATTTTTCAATTTTTACATTTTTCTTTGGTTCAAGAAGCAAAAGTGTAAATGCTCTACTAAAACTATCTAAAGCTGAAAACAGAGCTGCATCCTAATTATTCTTTCCCACTTGGGAAAAACAGGCCTATATTTTATCTTTGTCTTCTGTTATGTAAAAGACTTTATGATGTAACTGGGGTGATAAATTATTTCCCTTAGGACTTAACATATTTGATTTAATTAGACCAAATGATGAGCCAGATGATATTCAGGTGACAATAGGTAAGAGTAAGAACTGTGCGTGAAATGGTTTTATTTTAGGAGAAAAGTGTGAAAAGATTTCTAAACATGTATATTTTATTCCTTCTGACACATTACCTCCCAACTTAAAGTATGAGAAGTTAAAATCTGAAGAAAAGGCATAATTCAAAGAAACTAACTAGTTTTATTTTTCAGGTCTTAATTCTGAAGGACTATACCGAGTGTCAGGATTTAGTGACCTAATTGAAGATGTCAAGATGGCTTTCGACAGAGGTATGTTTTTCAGAATGTTCTATAACTTAGGACAATAATACTCTTTGCTAAAAAGCACAATTTCTTATGAGGTAGTTTTTGCATCATTTTTCTAAATCACTGATGGTTATATACCAAATTTAAAAACTTAGCTTATAATGTATTCTTTTTTATGAGTTGTAACTATTAAACAGTCAAATTTCAGAATGCAAAAGAAGTATAAAGATTCAGTTTGTGACTGATATTTGAGGATCCAAGGCTGGTCCATGTTTACCAAAATATACACAGAGCAATTACATTTACCAAAAATGATAGAGAAAAGAGTGGGATCTATTCCATTACAGATCTCAGGCTTCTTGGGTGTGAGTTAACCCACCTCACCCTGCCTGTCATCCATGCCCCTCTGGCATCCTCATCACCATCTTCAGTGAGCTGAGACCCAAGCCCAGACTCATGTGTTGGGGCCAGAAAGCTGAAGAGAAGCTTTAGGGGCCTTCTGCGGGGGACCCACCCACCACTGTAGGGAAAGGGGCCCAGTCAAAGAAAAGCTCAGTGGAGCTTAATTTTCTTAGCTAACATTTAGATTAAGATTTGCCTCCATGGTTCTCCAATTTGCTTTAAGGACTAGAACAAATGGTTCCAGAGAAGACCTGTAGCCTTGAATACAGGAAGTAAAGGAGTAAGGGTTAGTGATCCACTTTCCTTTACAAGTACGTATTCTAGTTCTATCACACAGACCTCTCCCATTCACAGACCTCTTACAGGCAACAGAGGCAGAAAGCAAAAATAATTAAATATTTATTACCAACCTGAGGGAATCTAGGCCAGCCCAAGTATGTGATAAGAGCAAAGAAAGGGAGATGAAGTAACGGTGTATTCACTCCAGAAAGCATCAGGAAGAGCAGTCCTGACTCCATGCCAGGTTGAATGGGAAGAAGCATCTTTTTACTCTGGAAGCTCTGCAACTGAGCATGTCCATTCCCAGCCTCTGGCTACAAGTCTCAAAAATAAATTCACACTGACAAAGAAACTGAATCTTCCTATGGACCCGAGAAAGCAAATAAATGGCACAGTTTCCTGTATTGAAAATATGAGACAACCATTTCGTAACCTGAAAACACCAGTAACAGATTTTAAAATTCATAAAGTGCTCACTTTGGCTCCCTGTAACCACATTGCCAGGGGCCAGTCTTTGGCCTCCCAAGGGAGGTGTACCGGCAATCACCTGCAAGATCTGTAGAAATGATGCAAAGGATTTTAACAAGGGTTACAACAAACCGGTGTCTCGGATCATTAAAATCAGTTCTGTATATAAATGCTGCCCAATTCCATGAGTGTTCAAAGGGATAAGATATCAAATAAACAGAGCAAAATAATTTGGAGTAATTAAGGATGTTCACTTCTGGGAGGCATAAATCTCAAGTAATGAGATCCAAGAAAGAAGCCAGGATCCAGAGGATGCTGGAATGAACTCATTAAATTCAAGAGCCAAGGTAAAAAGGCAAGTTTGGGGAAATCTTCCCCAGCTTAGGAAATAGTCACTGAATGGAAAGCTGACTACTCTGAGGTCAGAAGCTGCCATTACACTTCTGCTACATTTTATCCTTTGGTGGAATCACAGATATTTGTGTGACAGGTGCTGTGAGAGATCCATGGTCAAAGCAAATAAAATCTTGTGAGCTTTACCCCAGAAGAGCCCTAGTCTGGTTGAGACAAGAGCAGAAAGAAAAACAATTGGGAAACAGAAATGTTATAAACTGTGCTGACATGGTATAACCCTACTTAGAATGTAGTATGAGGAGATCAGATTCCAGGATTTGTTTACATTATTTTAAAACAGAAAATAGGTGAATAGATAAAACAGATGGAAGAATCTATTTGTGTATTTGTATATACTTACTAAAAAGTAGATTTTAAAAGAACCAGTTTAATAACAACATACATAGTAAGCCCCAGCATGTTACTCTTTTAGGCTCCTAGCTTGTTTAAATCTATTTTCCACTAATTTGTTAACTCAAAAATATTTATTAAGCAGCTACTATATTCCAGGCACCATGTTCTTTACTTTAGATATGATGGTTAACCATGTATGCTTGGTCCTTACACTCATGAAGGGTTCACATTAAATAATAATCACACAGTGGTTATTGATTTTAATAAGGGATATAAAGGAAAATATTAATAACTGGGGAGCTTAACCTGTCTGGTAGGGCAGGTGAGGCATGCTGGAGATCAAAAGAGGCTCTTTCACAGAAAATTAATCATTATTATGTAACATGTAGCACACTAAATAAACTATGTTAAAAACTGAAGCATTGCTCATCTTTAAAATCTGATTTGTATACAGAAAGGTCATTCATTAAAACAGTGCTGTGAATCCAGATATTTACTTTTGTTTCTTTCAACATCCTTAAAAGATGGTGAGAAGGCAGATATTTCTGTGAACATGTATGAAGATATCAACATCATCACTGGTGCACTTAAACTGTACTTCAGGGATTTGCCAATTCCACTCATTACATATGATGCCTACCCTAAGTTTATAGAATCTGCCAGTAAGTATGAATGCATGTATTCCAAATAACCTGACAAACAACCTCCTCTTGGTAATCACTCTTCCTGGGTTTCTGGCTGAGTAACTTGAATACATTTTATGAAATATTTCCTTTGTGCATCTCTCTATGGTTAATATAGTCATGAGAATTTTACATTGTTCTCTAACATAGATTATTTATGACTTATGCCATCAGAAGCTTCTTTTAATGTGCTAAACCTCATTTTCCAAAATAAGGCTTATACCAGTGCTCTTTAGATGTAGACCAGTGTTTTTGTAAAATAAAAATGAATAACTGGAAAAGTAAAATTAAAAAAAAAAAAAACATCTTTTGTTACATTCAGCAAACAAAATTTCTGTCAGATTGCTATATGTTTCTAAATTCTTATTCTCAGTTTCTGTACTTAACTTGTATGAGTTAATGCAGACTATTACAGTTAGCAAACTGGCACTGGCTCACAGATCGTACTTTAAAAAGCACTATTTTAGATCAAGAAGTTTTTTTTAAATTCTAGTTGAAATGAAAATGAGAAAAAGCAAAGGTTTATTTGTCAAATCTTATTTGTGCTGCAAAAATCATACCTGTAATTCGCACTTCATTTTTTAAAGAAGGGAATTCTTAATGGTTTTAAGTATTAGCATTACCATTTTTTGGAAAAGGTAGTCTATTTCTGTCATTTTGCTTTTCTCTCTATAAAACCATATGTTGTCTTCATCTTTAAATGATAACATCATTTCCTTAGTAACACTAATTTGCTTTTTGACTTGGGAATTTCATGAAATACAATCTTTCTTTGTTCTAAATTTTAGTTTCCCTTTCATGGCTTTTGTAGGGAGTTTTTGTGGTTAGTTCCATGGAGCCCTGATTTCTTGCAGGTCAGCTCAAGCTCCCATGTAGAGAATGGCCATGAGAATTACACTGATTTCTTTCAAAGCATTAGGTTAGAAAGCATGAAAAGTTCTAGGTCTCTAATGGACTCAGTGTTGATCATGAAAATTTGTGTGAGGGATCTCACACGTCCTTGTCTCATGGGGCAGACATTTCCTCTCCAGACAGATCATAAGTCTGATTGCCACTAATCTAGGAAGCAACACACACACACACAGACACACAGACACACACAGCCTGTGAAAAGCTGCCCAGTTTATGCTCTGATCCCCAGGACTCTGATCCCATTGAAAGTGGGTAAGTTCCACTTTCACGTTGCTTGGAAGTAAAACTGAAACTTGGCTGTATGCCAAACTCAGGGGTACACGCTCAGCAGAGGACAAAGCAGTGATGCAAACCCAGGTTCTGAACTCCACACACCACGTTATTTAGGAAGAAGTAAAAGCCAAGCCTCCTCTTGGATTCCAAGGCCTTTGACACCATAGTTCCAAATTACCTCTCCTTCTTTCCCCATACCCACCTTAGCTGCTGAAGAAAATCTCCCCTTTTTATTATTCTTCCAAATCATTTGTCATCGTTTTGGAATTTGTTTCTGAAACAGCCTTCCTGTCCAAAATTAGCAAGCACCCTTATCTCACCCCTGAGAGAACTCTGGAAACCACATCATAAGAAAGAAACTTTCACAAATCAAGGTAGAAATTTCTGCTTATAATTTCACCAATCTGGATGTCTGATTTATGTGACACCAAAAACCCTGGCATAATACCGATATATAATATAAACGTTTGTTGTGCATGTTGGATGGCGATATCCTCTTGTTTATGGAACACTGTGTCCTTGTACACTGTCTTCTGGCATTAGAGTCTGTTTCATTCTTTAGATGTGCAGATACAGCCATTCTCTTAAAAGGCAGATAAGGAAGATGAGAGAAATTAACATTTATAGAGTATATATGAGGTCCCTTGAATCCTGCTCAGCACTTTACATCCATCATGCACTTTTAGAAAGGAGGAGATGTGATGGAGTATGAGTAAATTGTGTAAGGTCACATTGCTCACTAGGGGAGGTGGCACTGGCATTCCCACACACTTCTAAGGTCAGAGCCCTTGCTTTCTCTACTCTGTCACACTGCCTGGCTCACTTGATGGAGCAGGGAATGAGACTTAGACAAGGGAAGGAGCAATGAAAGAGCCCCTTTCAAATGAGGGACAGAGAAAATTTTTTTTTCTCTCTCAGCTCCTAAAAATGTCTCTGGCATTTATTAGCATCCTTTGCCAACAAAAAAAAAATCAGAATTTACATTAAAGCTTTCTTCTACAAAAGCTGTTTGAGCTCTGCTTTCGCAGCCTTCTTGGAGGAACCTGCAGCTTAAAAGCTGGAAGGGAGTGACTGCAGGAAATGAAAAAGGAAAGCAAGGATGGAGAAGGCCAGGCCATCACACACGACAGCTTGAAGTTCTTCCAAGGCCCCTGCAGATTCCCTGATGAACTCACCTGAAGTCTGGGTTCACTCACCCCTCCTTCCTCAGTTCCTCTCCCCACCATTTAAGACATTGCTACCCTAGAATACAAAGGCCAGGAAGACAGGTGCCTCTCACAGAGCCTCCAATAACCCAGCCTTATGGGTGCTTCCTGTCACGATGGAAACAGCACTACCAAAGCTGAGCTCCTGGTGGCAATGAGGGCAGAAATCTTCTTCTAGCCAAGGACTCAGAGAGCTGTGTTCCCAGAACATCTTAGAAAAGCTACATGTCTCAGTGTGTAACCTTGAGTGAGTCAGATCAACGCAAAACCCAGGGTTCTTGGTGGTAAGCAACTTAAAATCTCCAGAAGAGAAGCCTGGGAAAGAGAACTTATTAGTGTTTCCTCAGCTCTGCCACTGAGCCACCACTTTTGGTCAGCTAAGTTTTAATCTTCTTGTATTGGAATTTCTCTATGTAAAATTAACTAGACATACTATAGAAGAGCTTTTAATTAGATCTTGATGGGCTTAGACTTGTTGTTTCCTTCCCCAACAATGTTCACATTTTTGAGATCCTTCCAGCCCCTCCTCTAATGCCGTCTGCTCCTCCCTGGACTCCTCAGCTGCAGACCGTCTTCCTCCCAATTCCCATCACCTCTACTCAGACATCTTTACTGCCTCCTTCCTTCATGCTGGAAATTTATAATTACATCTTGTCTTCCTACTTTACTGGAATCCCTTTTAAAGAGAGGAGTTCTCACTCATGTTCCTTTTCCCACAGTGCCTGTGACAGTCCCTTACTTACATAATAGGTGTAATAAATATGATAAATAAGTGAACTTACAATTTTACATTGAGAACTGTAGGATGTTAGAGTTTGCACATATTCTAAGGGATCATGCAGCTAGACTCTCTTGTATAAAACATTCTTTTTGAAATATTTAGTTGCTGCAAGCTCACTCACTGCTTCCAGAGGCAGTCAATCCACTGATGGACGGATGTAACCACATGAAGCCCTTCTGTGTACAACAGAAATCTGCCTGTTTTTATTTAATAATTCTCTCCCATTGGCAGTGTTCTTGGCATCACCCTTTTCCTCCATGTGTGTTTTGTATATTTGACAACTGATGATGGTCATTCATCTCTAAATACATTCCATTTTGTCTGTTTATCTCTTATGCTTCTTATGGCAAAGAGTTGTGTTCTCTACAAAATGGTAATGGGTAATGCTTTTGTAAGTGGAAGAAAAGAAGAAATGAATTCCAGGGAAGAATGTTTGCTGATTTGATCTTAATACTATTCGGCGCATTTTGTCATTTGTTTCCAAATGTATACTCCAGCCTGGAGATGTAAATTTCCTCTCCCTGAACACCAGATTAATCCACAATCAGCATGTTCATTTGAATGCCTGACAGGCATCTCAGAACTTTTCCTCACCAAACCTCCTCCACCCACAGTCTTTCCCATCTCAGTTAATAGAAGCCTCATTCTTGTAGCTGCCTAAGCCAAAAACCTGGATCATTCATGATTCTTCCATTTCTCATGCATCCTTCATCAGGAATCCAATGAACTCAACCTTCAAAATATACCCAGAATGCAACAAATTCTTATCACCTTCACTGCTACCCCCTGGTTCAAGCTACTGTCAATCTTCACCTGGATGTTTTTAATAATTACTGGAATAGTCTTTCTGCTTTTATTCTTTTCCTTCCACAGTCTGTTTTCCACCTGGCAGCCAGAGTACCGATAACTGAAAAATGCATGTCAGATCATGACCTTTCTTTGTTGATAACCTTCCCATTTCTCTTAGTAAATGCTAAATCCTTAAAATAGCCTGCATCTCCTGACATGATTGAGTGCCCTGTTGCCCTTCCGACCACACCTGCTAATATTCCCCTCTTCACTCACTCCCCTGCAGCCACAGTTGACTCCCCGCTTTTCCTCAAATATTACATTCATGCTCTCCCCTCAGGATCTCTGCATGGCTGCTCCTTCACCAGCACTGTCTTTCCCCAGATCTCCACATGGCTCATTCCCATTGAGGTCTATCCTGACCACCCCACTGAAAATTTCAACCCCCCAACACTTCTGATGCTTCTTATCCTGCTGTTTTTTTCCATAGCACTTGCCTCATTCTAATATAGTGTAAACTATAATACGTCATATTCATGGTTTATTGTCAGTCACCCTCAGTAGCAAGTAAGCTCCCCATATGCGAATTGTTTTGCTAGCCCAACACCACATCTCACAGTTCTTCTCTACAGAGATTAACTGTGGAAATTAAAAGGAAGCTGGGTTATTCTTGTTTTAATTTCCAGATTTGTGTAGTTTCAAATTAATTTATCCTATAATAAAAACTAAAGCTAGGTGTGGTGGTTCACACCTGTAATCCCAACACTTTGAGAGGCTGAGACAGAAGGATTACTTGATCCCAGATGTTTGAGACCAACCCAGGCAACATAGTGAGACGGTCTCCAAAAAAATTAACATTTAGCTGGGTGTGGTGGCACACATCTACAGTCCCAGCTACTTGGGAGCCTCAGGCAGGAGGATCACTTGAGCCCAGGAGGTCAAGGCTGCAGTAAGCTGTCATCATGCCACAGCACTCCAGACTGGGTGACAGTGTCTCAAACAAACAAAAACCCTAAGTAGTAGTTTTTATAGTAAATGGAGGATTTCAGTTTCTGAGCTGGTACTACTGTTATAAATTGGCACTTTTTAAAGGCCCCAAAGTTCAGACACCGTACATTATTTATCATGGCAAAAAGTAAATAATACATTCTTCATTCAAAGAAATGAGCCAGGAACTATGAGGATGTTTTGGGTAGAGATTGTAAAATGGTCAGTTTGTTTGAATTAAAAAACTTCAGTCATTGTTTACATTCTGAAATTTATCAAATCTGCTTTAACAATGCTAGAAACTTTTCACATTCATCTTACACCAATTTTTACCTGACTTCAATTCATTATGATTGAGTTGGATTGTTTCATAAGTTAGAAACCCTAAAATTTTTGGTCTTATGTCTTGGATGTTGCATTCTGGTCAGATGTAGTCTTCCTAGCATTTTAAGGCCGCCATCCTGATTAGGACTAAGCAACACGGAGTCTCATTGACATTACCTTGAAACCTAACTCCCCTGCCTCTGCCAAGATGGAGTCTTGCTCTATCACCCAGGGTGGAGTGCAGTGGCGTGATCTTGGCTCACTGCAACCTCCACCTCCTGGGTTGAAGCAATTCTCCTGCCTCAGCCTCCACAGTAGCTGGGATTACAGGCACCTGCCACCACACCCAGCTAATTTTTGTATTTTTAGTAGAGACGGGGTTTCACCATGTTGGCTAGGCTTGTCTCGAACTCCTGACCTCATGATCTGCCCACTTCGGCTTCCCAGAGTGCTGGAATTACAGGTGGGAGCCACCACACCTGGCCTAACCCAACTTTTAAAGGCACCCTATCTTCTGACATTTGAGTAGAAGCAGGAATGTACTGTGGTGTTCTTTTTTGAGATCACAGAATTCCAAAGATGTTAATTGTTTTCAGTTATAGAAATGACTAATGAATTGAATGCAGTGTGACCTCAAAGGAATGTGCTGGAATTTTTTTCATTTGGAACTAAAACATCCAAATGTAGATGATTCTCTTCAAAGTTTACACCCTTGAAAGAGTCACATTTATTTCAGGGCTCTTGCCATCAGGCAAAACATTTGGAAGTGACTTCAAAGTCTGCTGTGCATTCTTCTGAATGTCTGAGTCATAGAAAATGTTTGCATTTTGAAGGTAGATTTGATTTTTTAATATAAAACAAAGTAATTGAAAACTAAGTAATAAAGCAAGTAAATATTGGATGGTACATGTTTGGATTTAAAAAGGAAAAAGTATGAATATCAATTAATAAGACTTTCCTGGGGTCGCAATGGGTAGTGGAGTGACATGGTTAGTATGTCATTGCTGAAAAGGGATTTTCAAAATATTTTATGCAATGTGTCATTCCTTAAGTATACCTGTAATATTCTAAGGTCACTTCATTTGAATGTATAAGTTTTTAGTCTGTGTCAACATCTGCCTGATTTTTTTATAGTTACATCCTGTATTCAGTGTCCAATTTCCAAAGTTGTCAGACTCCAAGACACTCAACTGAAAAAACTAGATGTTCCCCCCATCCCCAAAAGTCCAAGTAAATGGTGTTGCCACATTGAAACTAAGAGCCTTTGGAAATATAGACTTGAACCTTAAAAGTAATTTCTGAAGCTGTTGGACAAGGAATTATGAGGAAGCATTTCTTACCAGTTTCAGAGCATTATCACAAGAATATAATTAAGTAAAACCACTGTATCAGTTTTGTGTTAATGCTTTTCTTCTTGGTATTCAACTTGCTGTTTTAGAAATTATGGATCCTGATGAGCAATTGGAAACCCTTCATGAAGCACTGAAACTACTGCCACCTGCTCACTGCGAAACCCTCCGATACCTCATGGCACATCTAAAGAGGCAAGTCACAGACCTTGAGTCTTACACCTGTATTACATCCAGATTTTAAGGATAAAATGAAATCAAGGATGAAAGAAAGGACAAATGATCTATTGAACAAATAAATAAATGTATAGCTACATTGTCTTGTGTGAAATTTCACTAGAAGGAATGCTAAAAATATCCTGCGCAATAATACTAAATGCAGACCTGATTGTGTTACAAATGTATGTGCAGTTCCAGTATATGTTTGCAGATATGCTAGAGATGCCAATGTTCTGTCAAGGACATGCACTAATTTTTGTGGATAGAGAGAGTTGTGGCTGTAAAGACACATAATAAAGCAAGAAGAAAGCAACTTGCAAGGCAGCTCACATTTCCTATCTTCTTGCTCCAAAAAAAAGCACTTCAAACTTGGTGATGGGATTTTTGATTATTGAATTAATGTTGCCAGCACTGCAAACTGATGTAAAAAGTGGTGGAGTAAGGAACTAAGGGGTAAAGGGAGGAATGGAAAATGAAGTATTTCAGTTCGTTTGGGTTTGATGTTTTCAGGTGATCGATAGTCATGCAGCTTTTCTCCCTGCTCGCTCACCCTCCATCTCTATCAGTTGAAGCGAAGGCTTCCAAATTATATGACAAAGTTTTGGTGGTTTTAGGTTTTCGAAATATAAAACCAATCAGAAACAGAAAATTTCATGTGGCCAAAGGCATTGAGTTATGCAGAAATGGTATTTTAGTCACTCGTGAATGTTTACATTTTTCCTCTTTAAAAGCACCATGAGTTAAAACCTTTGTTTAACGTTCTTAGAATTTCACTTATAGATTCAAGTTTGCTTCCTATTTGGAGGTAATTAAGTGTTCTGCACTAAAACAAAGGAATAACTCTCAAATGATCTCCTCTGTGTTACTATGCAGTGGTCAAAAGCACAGAAACACATACCCTCCATGACGATGCTGCCACCCCATAGCCATTGCTTGTTACTGTCACTGCTGTTCTCTCCCTAGACACTTACTCAACTGTCCACTTGCAAAACTACTCTACAGCAAAGATAGCCAAAGTGAAGGGAAGGTGGGTGGATTAAATCAAGGTAACCCAGTTCCTTCTAGCTATTTGCAAATGTAGGTTTAGAACTATAGGCTGTGGGCTGTGGCAGGAGGATCCATAGATAGAACGGAATCCATACGGTCCAGCACATTAACTCGGGCTTGAGCCAGTGATCACCACAAGTTTAAATTATCTCAACATAATTTACTCTAAGGAAAGTCAGTACTTTGAAAGCACAGAGAAATAACCTAGTAGAAGAGTTGTTAAGTAGACGCAGACTTTTATTGTGAATCCTGTTTTAGTGTTCAAGCACAATGAAGAACGTACAGCTTACACAAAATCATTTATTCCTGTACTTGCATTTTTCAGAGTGACCCTCCATGAAAAGGAGAATCTTATGAATGCAGAGAACCTTGGAATCGTCTTTGGACCAACCCTTATGAGATCTCCAGAACTAGACGCCATGGCTGCATTGAATGATATACGGTATCAGAGACTGGTGGTGGAGCTGCTTATCAAAAACGAAGACATTTTATTTTAAATTTTTAATTTGAGGGGAAAAGAAATGTTTTACAGATGAAGGAATGTTTTATAGTAATTTAATTGGCTCCTATAGCTGCATTATTTCTTGATTAGAGGTTTGGGCATATAACCAGATTTAAAATGAAGGAACTTTCTGTTGTTTTTGTAGCGCCGCTCAGCTGTCTTGTAAAACAGTGAACACACGCTTTCCGGTTCTAGTAATCCTGGGTGTTTATCATGTTCAGAGACACTCAAGCTATTGCATGATTAGCCCCCTATCTGGCAAGGAAACCCCATACAGAAGAAACAACAAACCTGCACCTGCACCGCCTCTGCGTCCTGGGTAGCCTGTGGTTGTAATCCAGCATGTTTCACAGAGTAAGCCTGTTGTGACTTTGCTTTTGGGGTCTATGTCATTGGTTTCTGATGCTTGTATAAACATGCACACACAAATGGATAAAACAGCACCTCCCTGGCTGTTGCATTACCATAGACCATATCATATGACTATGTTTTGCAAATGATTTCTGGTTTCTCTTAGTTCTTCTCTAACATAGTACTTTCTTTCCAGCAAAATCAAAATGTGTTTTCAGATTTGTTACTTTAGTAAGTTATTCATACCAATAAAAAATGTACAACACAGCATTTTCTGTTAAATTATTATTGGTTTTTAGTTGTAATTTTGTATTTTTTCTGGCATGCATTTAATTTATTAAATTGGCTTTTAGAAATCAAAAATATTGATAGCTTACTTTTTCTCATAAGAATATTCAGGAAAATGTGTTTGGCCATGTATTAAATACTGAGTACTTCTTCTGACCTGTTTTGTTTACTACTAAAAGTATTGTGATAAGCTCCTAAAATAATCATTTAAAACTGCTTATAGTTAAAACACCCATTAATTGTATTTGTTTTTCTTCTTATATTACTCGGGCAGAAATCTAGAAAATATTTTGACACTTTTTAATGAGGGGTTGGGCAGTTTCTTCCAGAGCCCTCAGAACAAGAAAGAGGCTAACTAAAAAGAGTGACTGCTTCTAAATATTTGATTTGTCAAAAAATATATGGCATTGACATACATTGAGCTGACAATTCGGCCTGAGAGCTGAGCTGCAGAGGGCAGCCTGGGGGCTGGAGAAGGGGTCTGCAGCTAGAGGCCAGGTGCCCAGATGCTGGGCCTGGTACTATCACTGGCCACCTGTGTGGCTTGGAGCCAACGACCCTCCAGAGCCTGCTTCTGTGCCTGTCAGACGAGCACCCTTCCAGAACAAAAGTTCCATCCTGCTTTCAAATTCTTAATAATAAAAGACATGTGTTGAAAATTTCAAGATTATTCCAAAAATAATGGGAACTGATGAAAACGTGGAGTGTTTCCGTATTTTTCCCCCTAGGCTACAGTAGGAAGTTGGTAGTATGTTTTCATTAATCTTGATATTGAGAAAAGTATGGTTATTCAGCAGATATTCCATCTCAGCTCTCCTGTCAACCAGTCTCCTATGAAGAATGCCACTGCACTGAGCAACAGCAAATGCATAGATTGATAACATACAGAGATTTGTTTTGTATAGCATAGAATGGTTTTGTTTGTTTGTTTTAATGGAGGCCACTAAAAGGCTGTAAACACTAAGGCTGAGAAATCTGATCAAACAAATCTGTCCCTGGGTTAAGTAAACCAAATTGGACTGCTATGTGTTCATTGCCAAAGTCAGTTTTCTACAAAGTTTTACTTTTAAAGGAGAAATTCAGTTGTAAATGAATATGCTTTATTAAAATGGATTCACCGTTTTTTCCTAAAAGACAGAGATATTCAACTTTAGAGCAGGCACTTACTAGAATCAGGTATATTTGGAGCAGAAGGTCATAGTAAATAGAAGCAGATGTTCAGAGAAAGTTCTGAGCAAGTCTTCAGACAAGTTTATTGCTTACTGGCTCTGTGAAGAATGTGACTGGTATGTTTTTACACAGAAGGATGTGTGGTTCACACCCTCAGGATGTACAGGTAGAAATAATAGCTACCTCATCTGTAACATGCTTGGACTGTTGGGTGACACTTCCTTGAAGTGAAGAAACGATTCCCAGCCACCTAGGGAGGGTTTTGCTCAGTAATTAACCAGAATCTTTTACACATATCTTTCTATGACCGGTGGGAGATTTCTTAAATCATGACTTTTTATGATGAGGCAGATGTTTCTAACACAATCAGGAGTGAGAGAAGGGACCAATAAACCTCTCCACTGTCACCCACGGATTTGGCAGCACTGCAGCTACTCTGCCCTGAATGCTGTGTCCACATCATCTCAGTTTTCTGTATATCATTTTTGTTTATTTATTGAGAAATCAAAGACTTCCCTTTTACATTTTTGGTCTTTAAATGCCAGTTATGCCAGCTGACCAGAAGAAGTAGTTCTCCACTGAATTGAGATTTTAAACGTTTCTGTAATTGGAAGAATGAATATTTATCAAAATGTTTCTGCTTATTTGATGTGCTCGAATAGAGGCCCTCTGGATAAATTAGGTTCAGAGTTCCGATCATTTTATTTTTTTCATTTCTTTTTGTGAGTTTTTTGTTTTTTATATTTTTCTTTTTGGGTTCTGATCATTTTAAATAATTTAGAGGCTACTGCCCCAAAGTTGATTATATATCATTGGCAAGTCTACTTAAAAAGCAAAAAGTGTTTTTATAGCTTGATTTGCCTGTAACAACTGCATGGGACTCACATTTGTCCACTAGAGTTGAGTGAAAGATGCTTCCTTCCATGAGCTGACGTGGTAGTGCCCTTCGTACGTCATCACCACGCATTACATGCTCACTGAACATCCAGGTCGGTTCTGCCCCTTAGCTGGCGTACATTGTGGTAGAGGGGAATGCGAAGATGTCTAGCATCAGCAGGGATCTGTCAGCCTAATGAGTTCTAGTTCTCACTTGCATTATCTCTAAAATTAAACACAAAACTCAAAACCTGCATCCCTTGGAGTATGTCTGCTACTCATTCCATACACAGATCCTGTGTGCCAGGCACTGCGCTAAAATTTGGAACAAGATTGGTTCTGATTCTTAAGCAACTCATGGGATCCATTTGGACCAGTCACAGTTTAAAGTACCTTTACTGATTGTGCATCTTGTTGCCTGTGGGCCTTGGTGCTTAGATGTCAATAGAAAGCTACAAGACAGCATGGATGGACTTGCGTTTCTTTGGGAAAATGTGAGCTTACAAGTCATACCCTTAAAATTCCATTTGAAGTTGACCTTAAACATTCATTTGACCAATAAGGAAAACACAGAAATAAGATGACATCACACGGAGCCGGTGTGAGTCTGTTTGGAAGTATCAAAAGCCTAATGCTTAGCTGCCCGTACCTTTGGGTGAGTGTCATCTGGAATGGAACACCACCACATGAAAGAGCTCTAGTATCCTCTGCCATGGAGGGACTCGGTCCCTAATTTTCCTGCATCAGATGAGGATAGATGATAATGCTATCAGTCCCATTGCATCCTGACATATTTACTTCATTTTAGCCAATCCCATGCACAGTTGGCAGTCATTCTGGAAGGGATGGTCTCAACCTGACAGCTCTAAATCTCCCTGTGGCATATATATATATACATATATATATACACATACATATATATACATATATACACATATATACATATATGTATACACATATACATATATATATACACACACATATATATACATATATATATACACATATATATGTATATATATTTGGTCTCTGTCCTGGCTCCTGGTCTAGAGATCCTAAAACCCCTGGAATTTTCAGGGTGATAGGAGAGTCTTCTGTAATTTATAATGACCCTTTGTAAGTACACCAGACTATATACTAATGAGGTGGCTTAGACTGGGGCCCTTTGACAGCCTCAAAATTGGGCTGGTCATTGGAAAGATCAAGTGATTAGGGGGGCTTGGAACTTTCTCTCCACTGACCACCAGAAAGGGGAGGGAGAGGCCCAGAGATTAAGCTCTGTAAGGCTTGGTAAGCTTTTTGGTGGGTGAACACATGGATGTGCCAGAAGGCAGCATGCCCCAGAGGGCACAGGAGCCCCCACCCCTCTTTACATACCTTGCCCTATGTGTCCCTTCTATTTGGCTGTCCCTGAGTTGTATATTTCATCATAAACTGGTAAAAATAAGCAAAGTATTTTCCTGATTTCTGTGAACTGCTCTAGCAAATTATCAAACCTGAGGAGGAGGTCGTAGGAACCCCTGATTCATAGCTCATCACAAGTATAGGTGGTTCCCTGGGACTTGCAACTGGTGTCTGATTTGGGGCAGTCTCGTGGAACTGAGTCTTTTAATTTGTAGGATCTGACACTAACTTGAGGTAGAGAGTGTCAGAACTGGCTTGAATTATAGGACACCTACTTGGTGTCTGGAGAGTTAGAGAACTTGGTGTGGAAAAAACCCACATATCTGGTTTCAGAAGTGTTCTGAGTAAAAATACCCTACTCGCCATTTATCTAAAACAGTCTGTGACCATCTTCACATTTCCCACATTGTAATGAAGGAAAAAAACTAAAGTTGATGTTTTCCCTTGGTTTTATATAATCAGGGAATTAAGTTATAATTAAAACACCAAATCTTTTAGCAATTTTGTTAATGAAGGTTGTATTAATACTTTCATTACAAATTTAAACATTTGTTGGTTTCAACACTGCTCTGCCTTATTAGTCATTAGGTCAGCAAATGCTTAAATAATTTTTAAAGTATTTATATTTCACTAGTTTTGTATCTCATACAAGGATATTGCTCAATTGATATTAATACATATTGAAACCAAATCAAAAGAGAGCTAAGCTAAAAAATTGTAATTCATCACTACATGTTGCAAGGAAAATCCCGGTTATGAGTTTCACTGTTTTCTACTGAAGAGATTATATTTTCATGCAGTATCCCAGTCACATGCAGCCTATTTCACGATGTAAATGTTTTCCTCTATTGCTTATTCAACTCAATAGCATAAAATACCACTAAGAGGTATAATCACCACGTGGCTGACCTAGTTTTTGGAGCTCTGGTGAACCCTTGGAAGTTTTGGGGATTTTACAGTTTTTCAGATCCACTCAATTACATCGTAGCTGGAAACATGAGCATGTGAAGCTAAAAATCTTAGAATTGTTTTTTCTAGTTCTGAAGCATAACCACCTAGCTGCCCATGCCACTATGGTAAGACACAAAAAGCAGAGGAGATCATGTTTTAGAGATTAAAACTTGGGGAAACAAATGAGCAAAAAGGGCCTTCTGGAGGTAAAATGCCATAAATTTGGAATGTTCTTAAAACATACTCATCTTTGGTTGCCATTACATCAAGCTTGAACCGGTTGGTTTCCTCTGACGTGCGTATAGATACAACTGGGCCACAATCCTAGGCTTGTTCATGCAAAAAAATATCCAACCTGATGTGTGGAAGGCTCTCTATATGAGTGGACATTTCCCTAAGACAGTTTCTATTTTTGTCAATGAAAACACATAATAGGAATAATTTGTTCAAGTTCTTTAAAAACTATATCCAAACTGTGGGAAGGCGATGACATGGAGATACAAGAAAGGTCAAGTTCAGGTCAGGTGCGGTGGCTCACCCTCCCAACACTTTGGGAGGCCAAGGCAGGCAAATCTCTTGAGTTCAGGCACTCCACTCAAGACCAGCCTGGATAGTATGGCAAGACCCCGTCTCTACAAAAAATACAAAAATTAGCCAAGTATGGTGAT